TATCTTTGTTCAGTATGTATACCAAATGTTAGACATAACTATTGTTGGGCATTTGAGCTTTGTTTTTCTTTACTATTAAAAAATGCTATTAAACATTCTTATAAATGGTTTATTTTTCTTTTGAAGTAAATTAATTCCTTAAGATAGGATTGCTTGGTCAAAAATGAATATATGCTTTTATGGCTCTTGATGTAGCCTTCAGAAGAACTAAATCAAGTTTCATTGCATCCACAATGTGTAAGGATAGCTGCCCCTTCCTGCCAGCCCTGCTGTCTTTTTCAAATTGTATGTGTGTAAAATAAAATTGTTATAGGTCAACATCCAGCACTTTCAAGTGTCCCTGCCTGTTTTGGCTTCCCCAATGAAGTCACAAGCTAGGTGGCCAGAGCTGCTTATCTGTCTGAAAGGGTTTAGTGTTAGTTACCTAACTGGAGTTAGACATCCTTGAGAGGACCTGGGGTCCACTTTCTTCTCTTTCCACTTGTACCCTATTTCCCAGAATTGTGATTCAGTATTGGGGTTTGCAACATACATTATTTCAAGTATATCCTAAGGATCTTGCCAAGAATGTGTTCAGGATCCTGTTTTAATACAATTTATTCGTAGATAAAACACTGGTTTGTTAACTATTCCCTCTAGAAATCTTAGGTAAACTAGTAACTTATTAAGCAAACCCACTCTTCATTGTGCTAAAACTATAGCCAGCCCAGCCCATATATCATTTTGTCCCAGAATCTGACTCAGGTCAGAAACAGGTCTAGAGGGCAAAAGGAGTGTGGACTTGAGAATACTGTTTGATACTTCATTAGTAAAAATCACAGTAGCACTGAAAGCGGTTCTGACAAGTGGGCCTTGTTCAGTTCGGGCAGCTAAAGGGAAAAGGTATCCTACTACTCTGCCTGGAACTGAAAGTTCATCCCATAAAAAGTAGGTTCTGGAGCACAGAGGTATTTTCGAGGAAAAAGAACTGAACTCAGCACTGGGTACAACTGCCAAAAAAATAACAAAACTTAAAACTGTGCCCAAGCACTAGCTACAAGGCCACACCAAATAAGGAAGGCTGATTCCTGTAAGTTTCAGAAGGACAGGAGCCATTCCTCAGTCAAGTTTTCCCCAGCACCTAGCACATAGTAAGGTGCTCAGTTTGTGAGTGTTGAATAAATGTGTGAATGTTCAAGACGACTTCCTGGTAATTGGGTTCAAAATCTACTGGGAGGAGCTTCAACCTGTAAGTTTCCTTTTAGAAAGTCTTAGAAGTGGTTGCTTGTCTTCCAAGAAGACAATGTTGTGGGGAGGCTGGCAGAAAGGAGCAGGGTGCATACTAGCTCAGAACCCTGAAATCCTTCCAAGAGCAGTGGTCGGGTGACTCCACTAGACAACCACCACCTGCAGCAGAGTTCAAAGCTAGCAGAGGTTGTATGAAAGTGTTCTGAGGAGGATGTGGAGCTGCCTGGGCTAAGTAAAAGTCACCTGCCAGCCTCCACTCTTCCCTTGGGTACACCACCTCACTTTCCATCACAGGTTGCCCCAGCACTGCTTGCCTGAGGAACAGACTCTTCTATAGGGGCCCTGGCTTCATGGCCCACCCAGAAGCACTCAGCTGCTCACTTGGGGACCATTGAGTACCTACAGCCTCAGCTGAGCCAGCACACCTCATGTCCTTGTTCATGGGCCCCTCACATCAGCCACTGCTCCTTCTCCTTTATGAAATGCTCTGCCCAGCGGCGGGTCAGCTCTAGGTACAGACTGGGCTGATGAGGCAGGTAGTCCAGATACAAGCGTGTTGGTGTCTTCTTGGGAATGGCCTTCTCGATCTGGGTACCCTCATGCCACTCATTGAAAGAGGTGATGGAAACGATCTCAGGCCTCACGGTCAGGGCTGCTTGCAGGGCTGTCTCATAATACTTGCCATTGACCCTGTTCCGAGTATTGTGGTTGTTCCAGGGTCGAATGCTAGTGTCAATGTAGCCAGGCCCCACACTTGGAATGAACATGAGGTTGTTGGCGTCACAAAAGTTCTTAACAGCTTTCCAGTTCTGGTGGGAGGAGCCGAAGGAGAAACCGTTGGAGGCAAAGTAGGTGTACATGCCATCAAATCCTGCAGCAAGGATGTCGTGGGTATGGCCCTCCTCCACCAGTAGTGCTATGAAGACCCCATCATAGAGAGTGTTGCGGATTGAGTGGGGCCCATTGGGTGTCAGGAGGTGGGCCCAGGCTTCAGGGGATGTTAGGTATGAGTCGTAGATATAAAAGAGTGGGAGGCTCTTGCCAATGCTGTTCTTATAGCGGTAAAACGCACCATGGGATCCATATCTGAGGAGCAGGAGGAAGGAGCCTGAGTTGGATGCAAGAAACTAGCACAGCTTTAGAAGCAGCCACATTGGGATTGTTCTCAATGCCCATAGCACAATTTGGGATTTAACTAGYCTGCATAGTTGGACTTACCAAGCCTCTAAGCAAGTACCTTGTTCCTCACCTTCCTTTCCCCAGCCTTGCCATTACTAAACCTCACTTCCCCATTTGAGGCACACCACCACCATCTTTGATATGAACTGCAGCATTAGCCATTTAACTGGTCTCCAGTCTTCCATTTCTACCTTCCTATAATACAATTTTTATTTTTAAAATGTAAAGCAGATCTGACTGCTAGTTTATCACCACCTATAAGGTCCCACCTGCTTGATCTGACCCTGCCTACCTCCACTCCTGCCATTATCTCACCCATCTCCACTACCCATCTGGCCTTTTGTTCCCTGTTATGTCAGGCTTGTCACATCTTAGGGCCTTGACATTTGCCAGTCTTCTGGAATTTTCCCCTTACCCCAGATCTTTGCAGAGTTTTCAGGGGGAAAGGGGGTCTGGGGATTGAACCCAGGGTCTCCTGCATGCTAAGTAAGCTAAATGCTATACTCCCTGCACCCCCACCCCTCCCCCAGCAAACACTTTTATTGAGTTAAACACATTTCTCATAGTTACGGAAACTGGGAAGTCCAAGAGCAAAGTGCCTAACAGATTCAGGTTGCCTCTGATCACAGAGTCCCCAGGACTGGAATTGAAATCCAGGTAGCCTGACTTCAAAACCACTAATTTCTTTCTGTATTGGGGGGTTGAACCCAGGGGCAATTTACCACTGAGCTACATCCCCAACTCTTTTTTTTTTTTTTTTTTTTTTTAATTTTGAAACAAGGCCTCACTAAGTTGCTGAGACTGGCCTTGAACTTACAATCCTCCTGCCTCAGCCTCACAAGTGCCTGGGATTATAGATGTGAGCCACTGCACCCTGCTAAACCCAGTAATTTACTACAAAACAGCTGCTGGGAACACATGCAGGTTGGATCTCTTGACCTGGCCCTCCAGACTTTTTATCCCTTTCTCTCCATTTTGATCCCCATTAAAACCCTAGCCCCGCAGCACCATGTAAAAATAAATAAAATAAAGGCATTGTGTCCAACTACACCTGAAAAATACATTACACACACACACACACACACAAAATAAAAAGAAACCTAGCCCCCAGAACAGCCTTACGTATCAATGATGTACTTGATGTTGTCATGTACAGTGATGTCATCCCGGCCCTTGTAGGGTTGGATATGGAAAGCCACCTGCCACAAACAAAGGATTTACTGATCAAGAGATTGTCTGTCCAGGGGCCACAAATAAGGCTCATGTTCCAAACACGGTCTGAAGGGGAAGCTGAGTTCAGGAGAAAGCCTGGCAATGGTGGGCACAATAGAGTTAAGACTGACACTATCTTTCTAGACCAAAAAGAAAAAAAGGAGAAGGACAAGAAATTTGCTCACCTTCCACAACAGGACATCTAGGAATTATTCTGGTGGGCTGCTACAGGATGGCTGACAGGTTTCAACCTATGTACCAGTTCCAAGTGATTGGCACTAGCTGCCTGAAACAATGGGAAGCTATGTTGATAGGAAAAAGTGCCTTGATCTGTTAAATGTGATAGTGGTGGACTCGGGAATGGGACATGTAGCTCCTGTCATTTTTCTTCCTTTGCTACAGTTGTGGAGATTGACCTAATTGGTACATTCAGTGAAAATAACCACTTGCTTGCTTCATGTCCTTCCTCTTGAAGGTGAGCTGATGACGTGTGTGTGGCCCACTCTGTGAGGCCCAGCGCTGCCTCCTGCTAGGGAGTTGGATCCAGAATTCAATCTGTAGGTCCATTTAGCACTTGCCTAGCCTTTATCCAAGGTCAGGATCTCCAAACTAACTTCTGTTGTTATTTAATAAAAAGTGGTATTTATTTAGTCTCCCATCTATCCTATATTTATTTTTCTCAAATAAAGAAAGTAAGTGTGACACAGGCAATGCTTATGAGAACCCTCCCCCAACACCACACTGGCTCCCTATTTGCCATCCCTGGACTACAGCCAAGAACTTCCCTAGGGGCTTTAACCCTGTAGGCAGAGGAGGAGGAGTCTCCAGAATGAGATAGCACATGACCTCTTCTTTGAGACTCACCTGGATGTTGTACTGGTGGGCTGTATCCAGAATAGCAGGTACAAGATCATCTGAGGGTTCCCCGTTATCATCAGCCATGCCAGGTGGGTACCAAGAGAGAACCAAGACGCCTGAAACACAACATAGAAGACACTTTAAAGGTACAGAGTACTCCTCAACAGACTTCTCTTTCCTGGCAGATGATTTCCAACTGAAAAACTATTCATGGAAACCTTCTGCCAGGTTCATTTCCTGCAGAACCAATCCCAGAGCTTCGGAGCTGTCCATGCCTGCAGTGCTGAATCGTTCTGGCCAGGAGAGCCATAGAGCACCAAGCAGGTCAGAAGGCTTTTGGTTCCATCAGCAAATAGCAGAAGGAAGTGGAGAGGGTGGCCATGCCACACCCACCCAGAAGCCCCAGTCCTATCTTTCAAAAAGAGGATCACCTCTGAGGTCTCACATAGAGTAGAGGCCTGTGCAAAAAGTCATCTTGGTGTTTCTCAGAGCATTTGCCGTGACTTGACTGTGACTCTAGACTGTAAACCTGAAGGATGGCCCCTGTCTTGTTTATCTTTGAATATTTCTCACCCTTCTCTTTGTCATTCCTCGTTTTCCCCGTCATTCACAAACCATCTCCAGGTACGATGTTAAAATGTACTACAAAGTGTAGCAGAATTTAGTAATAAAATCTGAACCAACTGAACATGCCAGCCTACAAAGGAGACTCCCAGGGACCTGTCCTGTGAATAGGCACTTAATGAAAAGCTCCTTCGCCCCCCAAGCAGGGTCTGTCATACAACATGGGCAAACTTTCCTCTCTACAGCCAGCAAAAGCAAGAAGAGCCGCTGCTCTTCCCTGCACCTGATGTGAAAGCAGAGGTCATACCAGGCTTTATTCCTTTGAACCCCAGACTCCTGAGGAACCAGAAAACCCAGATTTTCACTTCCCTGGAACCCAAAAGCCCAACAGATTTGAAGTTTCTGCCTTCCTCTCTTTGCTGTCCCTATGCAGGACAGCTCTGGTACAAACCCCTAGCTGCTCCGCCCTGTAGGAAGGCTCTGGAATTGGGGGTCAGAAGGGTCCAGAAAGGCAATTGGAATACTAAAAAGAAGGCGCAATGCCGCGTAGTGGGCCCGTAATGGGAAGGAAAGGCTATGAAGTCAAGTTGGAGGTTGAATGGAATCAAAGGCCGGTGACAGGACAGCAGATGTGGAACGAAAATGGGGAAGATGGGCGAGGCTGAGGGGTCCGGGGAACTCACCGATGGCGGCTTCCTTGAGCTGGGTCATGTGCTCCCGCAGCACGTCAGGGTCCCGGGAGCTGTAGGGCCCCAGCTCTGGGTAGAAGCTGGACCCCAGGTCATCCGGGGGACTGTGACGGCCGCGGGGATAGCTGGCCGAGATCTTGGGGTCCCAGTGCGGCACCATGACGTGGTCCCAGTGGATGTAGTGGCCCTCGCGCCGCGGGCTCCCGTACCACGAGTAGTAAAAGGCGTGGAGGTCCGAGTAGACGCGCAGACTCTGCCCGGGGGCGGACTCGGCCTCCGCGGGGACCGGCCCGGCCGAACTGCGCGGTTCCGCGGTGCGAGGCGGCAGCGGCGGCGGCGGTGCGGCGGGGGCGGCCGGGGCCCGGGCGGCGGGCGCGGGGGCCCCCTCTGGACGTCGCTCAAAGGGTGCCAGCTCCAGGCCCGGGCCCAGCGCGGGTAGTCCGTCCGGAGCTTTGAGTGTGCGCAGGCCCATGAGAGTACCGAAGGCGAAGAGCAGCACCAGGAACAGCGCGATGCAGGCGCGGCGCCGCCGCCGGGCCATGGCGGCCCCGCGTCTCCCCGGGCCCAGCCCCGCTACCTCCCGGTGAGCGGCGCCATGGCTGCCCGCCCGGCTCGCACAGCCACGCAGCCTGAGCGCGACTCAGGGAGACGGCGACGCAGAGCCGGGAGAAGCGTGGGCGGATCCCGGACTCTCCCCGCAGTGCGGGCGGGCCCCGCACACAGAGAATGCAGGCGGCGTAGACCAAGTGGTGTCGAGCTGAGGGGGGACCGGACAGCAGCAGAGACCAGCTCTGCGAGTTCCAGGCCAAAGAAGCGGAAGCCTAAGTCGCGCTGCTGGGACAGCGGGGTGCAGGCGCCCGGCTTGGGAGAGGGAATGCAGATCTTTGGAGTTCAGGAGATTTTCGGTGTGGCAGCGTTGGAGCCAGGATGAGAGGAGCAGAGGGCTGGGTGGGGAAGAAAGAGGGTGTCTATGATGCTCTTGCCCCAAGGACCCTCTTCTCCCTCGACCCCTCCTTACTGACTTCACTGTATCCCTCCCACTGGTCTCAGTCACCAACCATCCTTATTTGCCACAGGCCCTGCAACACCCAGGGCACTGGGGAGGGGGACATCTGGAAATCCCCACCCTACAGGCGCTGGCTATGGCCTTGGAGTTGCAAGACCATGACTTGCGCAAGGTCACATTGACCAAGCCTAAACCAAGGGTCAGGACTGGTTCTCCAGAGCTCTTTGCACTACTCGGACTGGCCGGTCTTAGGCCACTGCCATCCCTGAATTCTCTCTTTAGAGATTATCCTAGAGTAGGTAAGGATTAAATGAGATGGTTCCCCTAAAACACTTTGTACAGTGTCTGACAGAGAAAACGCTTACCGGTTCCCCATTCTTCCTGAGCTCTGAGCTCCAGAGGGCAGACCTGGATCTTATATATCTGTTAGACACCAAGGGTTCCAGAACAGGATCTGTCACCCAGTTCCCTGATCTATCTGATCAGGGAATCACACCAGACCCTGGTGTGATGTTCTGTGGACAGATTTTTGCTCACTGTTGTTGAGAGTCACTTTGTTGCCCACACTGCTCTATCTGCAGTCTAAAAGAGTTTGTGTTAGCACAAAATGAAAGAACAGGGTGCAAACTACATGAATCAGCACAGCCTTTCTTCACTGGTGGAGTCACACCTTCACGCCTTTGATGGACCCACTTTCCTGGTGGAAAATGAGCCACTGGCCAAAGAGGGAGTCTGTGCTTATATAGGTTACAATGAGAGGTGATTTAATTATTGACAGAGCATGCCTAATGGTGGGTGTGGGGTCAGTGTTCAGTATTTATCTCTTTCCCTCCAGGGTCCCATTGTACTGTCAATGGGAAAGGATTTATTTTGGGAAGGGTCAATGCTCTGGCTTCCTCCCAGAGACTGCCAGTCTAGCTTTGATGGATGGCTTCTCCCCAGGGATTGTCTTGCCACTGGGCCATTGTCTTTTCACTGGGAAAGAATGTATTGGGAAAGGATCAATGTTATCAATGTGTTGCCTTCTTCCTCGATCCCTCTTTCCAGGCCATACTATTTGGGGGTTTGTCATTTTCTATGTCTTACAGTTTGGTATAATAGAAGTCATCTACTTCTTTTTTCTTAAGTAAGAAAATTGTTGAGAGGGGAGGGGAAGGGGGGATAGGAAGGGCAGCAGAATAGACATTATTATTGCTGTATGTATATACGTGACTGTATGACCAATGTGATTCTGCAACCTGTACAATCAGAAAAATGAGAAATTATACCCTATTTGATTCATGTGTATGATATGTGAAGATCATTGTATTGTCATGTGTAACTAATAAAAAAAATAAAGGAGGGCTGGGGATGTGGCTCAAGCGGTAGCGCGCTCGCCTGGCAAGCATGCGGCCCGGGTTCGATCCTCAGCACCACATACCAACAAAGATGTTGTGTCCGCCGAGAACTAAAAAA